AGGAATTTAGAAAGAACTTGGCTTTGTATGAGGTTGGTGTGAGGAAGCTGGGAATAGGTCTAGACATTTTTTAAATTTATGTTGAGTAACTCCACATACGAATATTTTAATGTTACCTGCAAGATGCAAAAACAAACAGATAAGTCATTTTAGTCAAACTATCACTGACTCACATTAGCTTCTGTTTTCCCTCTGATGATAACCTCAGTTTCTGCTAAAAACATGGTAGTCATTTTATCACAGAACAACTGTCAGTGTTTCAGAAATTATACACAGGTGAACAGTGTCTTGCTCGGTATTCAATGCGTGTGAAAATCAGATGTCATAAATGGTGACATATTGCACCATACTGCACTCTTGTGGTTGAAGAGCTTAAAGCAGCCCATCCTGGTGCAGTGAAGCTATTTTTAAGATGATTCCTCAGCACTAAGGTGTTTGTGGCTCCAGGAGCTGGAACATTTAAGGCCATTTTAAGAAATCTGGTGAAAAAGAAATGTATTTGCTGTCTCATCTTTCAGAAAATAAAATCAGTAAGGGACTCTCTAGATGTTACCTACTGTTACCTATTACCTAAATCTACATAAACAGACTCAATTTTTACTGAAAAATGCACATTAATCCTGGTTTTGCATGTAAGAACTTAATATATTTTATGTGATGACAAATTTCCAGCTGACTACTGCTGTCAAAGAACCGCTTTAGTGTGATCCAAATGTTCTGTTCTGTGGTTGACTTTTAAGAACTGGACCTTCAGCTGGTCCAGGAATGGTTTCTGTTCTCTAATTGATTCTATAATTGTCACATGAATTAGCTGTAAGCTGTAAAATGTAAGTTCAGTTTGAGTTCAAAGGCTGTTAGTGTTGCGCACTGATGTGTGATGTCACAATGACATGAAGGCGTCGCCTCCCGTTCCCACATGATAAACCAGCTAAGGAACATGTGAGCATTCTTACATTTTGAGTAACATCTTGATAGCCTTATGTTGAACTGGGTTATTGTTTTTACATCACAAGTTTAATTGTAAATCTATGCATTTGCTCTGGTTCTGTGATATATTTGCACCTGTCTGATTCCTAAAATCATTGCTGTTGTGACACTGAGACACCGTAAAACTTCCCTCTTTGCTCCAACAGCAGACTTCATGCATGGAAAAACACTCCAAGACTCCGTCACATTTACAAACCATTTAATTTTATGGCTCTAAGGTTAAAAACAAAAATTCTTCCATTCCTTGATGTGACAATAAATAAAACAACAGCTTCAATTATTCTTCAATTAAATAAATAAAAAAATAGAAACACATTTAAAATAAATTATGTAAAAGTAATAAATAGTAAATCAGGAGTAAAAGTTGTCAGTAGCTGCACTGCTGGGATGATGTTTTTATGCTTCTATTTCACCAGATGTTTGGTTGGACTTATATGATGTCAGGACGACATTTCAATCCCTGCAGAGAGAAGAAAGGAGAATGAAGAATATTTTATTAACACATTAGCACTTTCACACTTAGAACAACACTATGATCACATACTTACACTTTATCTGCATTTAAAAATGAATAAAAGGTTACTGTTGTTTGTAAAATACATTTATCTAAGCCTGGTTTCATGTGACGGTTCTGGTAGCTGATGTCTACCTTTTGCATCCTGTACTTCAGCCATTTGGAAGAGGGATCAATGCACCCAATTTCGTTGTTTGCTGTCAGGATCCTTGGAGCAGAGGAAAAGGACAGTTAAACCCCAGAAACGTTTAGTTATTACACAGATATTTCATCCCGAAACATCTTTAACTAATAATGCACATGGTGTTTTACAGACCTGAGTGAAGATTAGTAAGTTCCTAATATGAATTTAAAATATAACTGAGAGGACACAGAGTCTGTACTTACAGGAAGGCGTGGTTGTTGCAGTCATGGCGTGGTTTCTGCTCATAGCACTCTTTAATGGACCTGATTCTCCCCATGCCGCCTTTGTGACAGCAGGGCAAACCAATATTTTGGGAATTCACTAGAAAACAAGAGAGAAGAAAATCAGTCAGCAACACTTAAATGGTGGCCTGTTGTTTCTGTCCATCAAATATTTCTGCTCCTCCATTTACATGGTTCATCATGGCAATTTTAGAGATGGGGTAAAATACCAGATGTTTGCCTTTAAAAGAACTTAAAACAGCCTGGATACTTATTAAGTGCAAGACTCCACAATTATAGACTTTTAATCCAACTCGATATACAATTAAATTAACCAGATCAATTTTAATCAAGCAAAGTGCCCTGTATCAGAAATACATGTCTGACTAGATTAAAATTGTGAAATTCGTTTTAGAATTATGAATTAAAAGTAGAAATATGATAAATATCAGCTAGCTTCATCCCCGTTAAAAAAAATACATTATTAACATGATAAAGTTGTCTTTAAAATTAGGCGGTCAGGATTGGTGTTTCTTTTTATATATTTTTTGCTTTTTCACTCCTTTTCAGTAAAGTCCTTTTGATTTCCAATTTTCAGAGGGATAGGTATTTCTTTGTTAATCTACTTAACTCTGGCGTATCGATCAAGAGCTGGCTTAATAGTTCCTTACAGTAAAAAAAAAATGTTTTTCTTCTGAATTGTCTTCTCAGTAAATCACTGAAATAAATCTTCTATTTTCATGTGGATTAAGATGTTTGCTCAGTAAAATTAATATTCAACCTCATGTCCAAAAGTACAGCTAAATAAAACATAGACAAACGCAGAGCAGGTTCAGTCTTACCTTGTGATACTGAGATGAGCATCATAGCAGCCAGGATGAGCAGAAAAAGCAGACGGTTGGCAGAGAGAGTCATCCACATCTTCAAACACTGAAGGTTGACCTGTAGAAAGCTGTAAATGTCTTCAGCTACTGAGAGCTCAGCTTCAAAAAGTGTAATGAATGGCTCAAATGGGGGCAGTCTTTTATATTCTCAGAAAGAGGAACCATTGCCGCCATGACACCAACGTATATGATATGGAAACAGTCATGTTTTAGTCGTGACAACACAAAGACTCATACCCATAGGTGACTGTAGGAATTTTTTGTGCATAATGTCCATATTTGTTAAGGTTCCCTGGATTTGTCTGTGTACATTGTCATCATTTTAAGTAGTGCCTGGTGTTCACTTTAGCCATTTGTTGGCACCAGAGGAAAATTTGCAGATCGAATTAAGGTAATTCAAAAATGAGAAACAGAGGCTATTCAAATAATTATTTCATATAAAGGAAAAGAAACATGAAAGAAAAATCTGAAATATTTCTGTAGCTGATAGGAGACACTATTACAGTGGTCTCACAAGTGTTTTATTCCAGGAATGTGTTGCTTTACAACCTTTATCCTATTTAGTTTTTATTTAAACAGCTGAATTTAAAGTTGATTTTAAATAAATTATATCCTGCTATCATCATGTTCGATTTGACAAGTCATGAAGTTGACTCTAAACATTTAGAAATCTGTTTCATTTTGGTCCCAATTAAATATAAGATTACATAATCATGAGCTTTGTGTAGGTTGGAGGGTTTTCTTAATTTCACTCCAATAAAAACACATTGGAAATGCTATTTGTTTGGGTAGAACCTGCCGGAGTTCATTTAATTGTTCTGCCAACTAACACTAATCAGAGACATTCAGGTCTCATAGTTGAAGCTGGGATTGATGTGGGTTTCAGGGTTTGGCTAACTCTCGAAAATCATGTCAAGTATAAGGAGGACTGAGACACAAACAGAAGTTAAACAAAAGTTTCACCAGCATAACTGATTAAAGCTGGCTGTTTTCTGATTAATCATTGATGTTAAGTCCAAGAATTTGATAAACAACCTTTCTTTCTTTCTTTCTTTCTTTCTTTCTTTCTTTCTTTCTTTCTTTCGTTCTTTCTTTCAGCACAACCAATTGATTAAAAATAGTTCCACTTCCCACACATTTAAGGGCCACCTGAGACAGAAATGAATCATATTCCTTCTGTTATATCTGGGGCAATAGGGGATGTCCCAAACTCTTTGTTTTACTCAGACACGCCCCAAGTATGACATTCAGAGACTGACAAACCATTTTTGGTAAGCTGTTACTATTAAAAACTTTAGGAAACAGAGATATAAAAAGCTTAAAAAGAGGAATTACTCACATATGTGGAAAGCATGTTTTTTGTGTTCGCTTCTCTTCCTGAGAAATGTAATGTCTTTAAAAGCCATGGTTTATTTTTGTTGTTATTGCATCATCTCTTTATTCAGTATTTGGGCCACAAAATGGAATCAAACATTTTAAGCAGTGTCTCATATGAAGTTCATGAAATACAAAATTCTATTTGTGTTTGGGACAAATTGGTAAGATTCTGTCTGGTCACCACTTGTTTTTACAAAAATATACTATGTCTATTGTTCCTTATTTCTGTTTATCGTGCTTCTTGTCATGAGTTAATATGGTCATTTTATTGGTGTTATACATTTAAGTGTTGGATATTTTGTTTTTGTTATTTTTAACATTATTTCAACTTTGTTTGGATAAGTAGAAAATATCACATATTTTCAAGTCATTGGATCAGTAAGAAAAAAAGTGGTACATGTGAGACAATCAAAAAGGATGGCAAGATTATATATATATAATCTTGCAATGTGTGTAATTATTCATAGAATAAAATGTATGTTATGCTTATTCAGAAATTGAATAAGAAACAATATTTAATCAGAAAAAAAGATGCAATGATGGAAAATAATAAAAATGAGAAAAGCATCTATGAAAAGGTGTCTTTATTAAGCACAAACAAAGACAATACGTGTATATAGTCAATAAAAATAATTACACCAGAAAATTAAATGTCATCAGACAAAAAGCATTTGCCATAATCAGTGTTAATAAAACACAAAGCAGATAGTTGGTTTCTAAAAAAGATTTTAAAAAGTATTTTTTTCTAAAAACGAGATTCCAATGTTTTGAATCAGCCGCGATATCTGTACTCTCGCGACATTTGGCCAACAGCGCCCCCTTGTTTGTATATGGAGAAGTTACAGGAGGTATGAGGAATACACCGCGGCTAATGATAGCAACGTACACAAACAGGGAAATAATTCATTGTCGGTTTTCATTAACACTCTGCGCTCCACGAAAACCAAAGGGAGGGGTTCATTGCTGTCAAATCCTCCATCTCTCGCCAAATCTCCACCGAGGTGAGCACCGAGAACGGAAAACTCACACTAATCCCGTAAAGTGGGGAGCGGCCTGCTTTTGTATCCGGCCTCCTGGTTCAGCTCAGGCGGCCAGCAGTGTCACCAGAGGCCGGTGCTTCCGGTTGAATGTTTTTGTGTGCACCGACAAAACCATCGCAGCCACGGGGGTGTTCTTATTAGAATAACAACAGCCCCTCTTTCACCCATATCCCCTCTCATCGACGTGCAGCTGTTGGCGTTTCTTGCCCGAAAGGAGCGTTTCAACCCTGGGCGGCCTGTTTTGTTTTCGAGCCGCCATGAATCTCAGCGAACAATAACACAACCATATCGAGCCCGCTGGGGCTGCACTGAAATAGGAGCCACGGGAGCCCCGGCGTGGGATAATTAAAGCTTTGTTTGGTACCAGCTTTGAAACGACGTGAAAACCCGGGTTAAGCATGCATGTGAATCATGTATTTTTCTCCGGGAACCCGCTGCAAACTGGACTGTTTTGTCACGAAAGCCCATGTTTAAAATTTGGAGCTGCTGCGAGTTAATCGGGTGGAAGCACGGTTAAAAAGGCGAAGGGGAACGGTGCACACTATGCTTTGTCTCATCACATCTCACGAGTGGTGTGGAAATAAACCGAATGGATGTGGGTAAACAGATATTTCTATGCAGGGCCGACCCTCTTGTGATTGAAATACCCTATCCAAAGCCTGAGAGCTGTCAACCCGGGGCATCACATTGAGGATGGATTGGCTGTGACTGGGGATGAGTAACCCGGATTGCTCTACCCGCAGACTGATACATATGTGGGATTTACCGACGGGAAACTGAGGACGTTGCACCCATCTATGCTCGCTTCAGAGCCACCAGACTCCCTTGACGAAAACAGTCATTTTACCCGCACTGAATGCGGTAATACCGCTGAGTCCGTCGACTATTTTCTCTCTCACTGGGTGAATTTGGAGCGTAAACGTGTTACGACATCTTAACGGACAGGACCGAGTTGTAGCCCCGGGCCAGCCAGCTGAGATGAACCCGGTGAATGCGACCTCTCTGTATGTGTCCGCGAGCCGTTCGGTGCTGCAGTGCGACCCCCGAGATCCCCGGGCCCTGGCGGAGCTCTGCAAGCTACTGCCATTTTTCCGACAGTCTCTGTCCTGCTTAGTCTGTGGTAAGTGGGTCAAAATATCGTTTTTTTTTCTGTTTATGCACAACATTTCAGTGTCAATGTGTGTTTTGGTAGAGGATACAGATAACGTGCACAGTCGTAAACTGCCCTAGCACTGGCAGCTAATCTTTAAATTATGTTGCATTCACGTGCTGTCAGAAATCCTTCCACTGGTTTAAGATCTAGCGAAAAGTTTGGGGAAACATTAGTATCTGATATTGTACAATATTAACTTTTTTAACGATATTAGATGTTAATAGTTGTATTTGAACTAATCAAAATCGTAGAAGAAACAACTATGTGAATATGGTCGGATATGAACCAGTGTTGCATCCTTTTAGAAGATCATGCTTTAGAAAAATCAACATTGCAATTTAATTAATTTTGGCTGATACAAAGAAGCATAAAAATTGTGAATTTAGTCACACTTAATTTAAGATTAGATTTCGAGTGTGATAAGTATATTCAATTTTGGTTTGAGGTTTTACTTAATCGTTCCTGCAGTTTAACTCAAAATGTGTCATTAACATAGACATACATTGTTGAATGTAATCTTTTTTATGGATGGTATTATGCCTCCCTTTGCAATTTCAAAGACTCATGATCAGAAATATTCAGAAAAACCTTGTTAGAATAAGTTATTGATGGATCCTTGGTGTGGAAATATTGCAAATTGATTTTGTGAATATATTGTCTATGCTGCTGTTCTCTTAATTTTCTTATCAAATGGATGCAATTTTTTCTTTTTTTTTCTTTGCTCATGGAGTTGATCCGTTGTGGAGATCTAGAAACAGGAAATTCCGAGGTGTAGTGAAGGCATCATGATTTACTGCTACACCCATCGTGACACACCCCCCTCTGTGTGTTGTTTGGCAGCTTTGGGGCGTTTCTGGAGTTTATGCCACGGAATAACGGGTCCTGCACATACTGGAGGCAAAGAACCAAATGTTTTGATGCATTTCCTGTTCTAAATTCTTGATGCATTATTTGAACAAACGCTGGAAGCAAAGCCTCATCAAACAAGTTTGTTAACAGAGTTTACTTAGGAATTATGGGTTTAAAAAAGAAGAATTAAATCGTAGTTAATAATCAATCAGTCATTTCTTTAAGTAGTCTTCAGCTGAAGGTCCAGATGCATCTCTCAGGTATTGTGTCAGGTGTTTGCTGGACTTTCCCTTGTTGTTAAGGACATCACTTTCAGATCTTTTTCATTGCTGTAGACACATTTTCTTTTCTCCTCCAGTTTCCTCCAGTTTTTTAAGGGCACACTGCACACCATGCTGAGATATGGCACATTTTCAGCTAAAGGCTTTTTGGGAATCAGCCTAACGCTGCTAAAATCCAAACTGCCTAACTGGGTTATTTTTCAAACATCAACCAAAGAAATAGAAACAAAATATTTGTGTAGCTGCTTGTAACAAAGGGCTTAAAAACCTATAAAACTTAATCGTTGCAAATAAAACTGAAACATCCCTTAAGTTTGGGGCTTAACAAAAAATAACCGATTTGAAAATGGAAGAAGATAATGTTAAAGAAAAGGTCAGAAAGACTTCAGAAATCCCTCAGAACTATGGCAGAGAGTCACTTTAAAAAAGGCTGAAGAAAGACTTACCCTAAAAAAAAAAAAGACAAATCTTTTTTTTTTTTTTTTTACAAATTACTGAATACGCCTTTTTGACCTGTTGTTTTTGTCCACATCTCAGGTTTTCTTTTAAGAAGTTATCAATACATTCATGACAGTGTGAAATATTTATTCATTTTGCAGGAGCTGAAGGTTATATGTTTGTTTCTGGGTTCCCTGGAGGAAAGAGAAGAGTGGCTTTTCCATACTCTCAGATCTACGCTTTATGAGCAACACATCAATATAAAATCAAGCTGAGCAGTTTGTTAAATATAGACATCTTGTCGATATGTGGGATGTATCGGCCCATGTGTGGGGGGTCAGTTGTCTCTTATGAATGGGTCTTCGTGCTTTTTTTCCCCCTCCGTCTGCAGCTGCACTCTGTAGCAGCCAGCGTTGCTAAGGAAGCTCCTCTCAAAGAGTGGCTGTCATTCAGTCCGGCCGGCTGCCAGGCGCCGCTCAGGTTTACAAATGCGTGCTGCTTCTGGGAGCTGTGGAAATACGGCAGGGTTAGGCTAATACTGAGCAAGTTATCAGCATTTCTAAGGCTCACCCTGACACCAGATGTGCCACGCTCCTGCTTTTTAGTACTCCTGTGGACATGTTCCCCGCACCATGAGCGACATATTTATCTGTCTCCGTTTTGTTCAGGTAACCTGCTGCAGGACCCCATTGCTCCCACCAACTCCTCATGTCAGCACTACGTGTGTCGCGGCTGTAAAGGTCAGAGGATGCAGCTGAAGCCGTCCTGTAGTTGGTGTAAGGACTATGCCCGCTTTGAGGAAAACAGGCAGCTCTCTTTGCTCGTGCACTGTTACAGGAAGCTCTGCCTCTACATCACGCAGTCGCCGCTGGCGCCGCACATAGCCAGCGCCGCCGGCGACTCGCCGGACCTCCAGGCCATCCTCAACGAGGGCCTGACGTTGGCCGAGAGCGAGCCCCAGCCGGAGGAGGTCTCGGTCTCGGACTCGGCCGCGGCGCCACAGGGCGCCTCCACCTCTCAGGAGGTGCAGCCCGATGAGGCTCCCGCCAGCAGGGGGGTTAAGAGCGAGGAGCGGAGCCCCGCGACCATCAACGGACTTCATGATTGTAACGGCCTGGCGGGGTCAGACACGCTGCAGCCCGTCTCCGTGGAAACAGGCGGCGGGGTAGCAAAGCAGGAGAGCTTCTCGGAGGAGATCCCGGTGTGTGTGAGCGTCACCGGCGATGGGGGGGCGGGGCTCTGCGACATGGGCACTTTTGGGGAGGACCTGAAACACGGCGGGGGTCCTCTGCTGCTGAGTGTGGAGGAGGTGCTCAGGACTCTGGAGACGGACGCTGACCCTGACAGCACAGCAGAGACCACCCCCCAGCCAGAGTTCCCCCCCTCTGTGCCTCAGCCGGGCCTCAACGGGCCGCACTGCCCGTCGGGCCCCGACTCGTCCCGCCTCGTCCCCTCCCTGCCGCCGGAGAACAGCCCCCGTCCCCTCAACCCCCCCCTTCAGCCCTCCATCGTCGTCCCCCGCGTCCCGGTCCGCTGCCACCGCAAGCGCTCGCGCTCGGAGAGCGACAGCGAGAAGGTGCAGCCCCTCCCCATTTCCAGCCTCCTACGAGGGCCCGCCACGGGTGCCATCAGCTCCCCCCAGCACCCCAACACCGGCGCCACCACCAAACACGAGCCCAAGTTCCCCTCCGTCTCCCCGCACCCCCATTTAGCACCCGTGCCTAACGGCGGCCCCCCGAAGGTGGCAAAGACTGTGCTGGTGCCCAACAAGGCGCTGAAGAAGCCCATGGAGCACCACGGGGCCGCCAAGAAAGCCTACACCAAGGCCAGGCAAGGGGCCCCCAAGCCCCGCACGCAGCCCCGGGACAGAGCACCCCAGCACCCCCACCCCCACCCTCTGACTCACCCCCCCAGCCCCTCAAAGCCCCTGTACAAGAAGCCTGTGGAGAAGAAGGGCTGCAAGTGTGGCCGTGCTACTCAGAACCCCTCAGTGTTGACCTGTAGGGGGCAGCGCTGCCCCTGCTACTCCAACCGCAAGGTGAGAGCTCCGTCCAGCACACCCACATCTGCAGCCGCCCCCGCCCACTTGGCCCCTTCACTGCCGGTGTCGGGAAATGTAAATTAAAAGACGACTCGGCATGTTTGAGTGCTCCTGTTCTCACACTGAAATGTGGTTTTACTCGTTTGCGCTGTTTGCTTGTCTGAGTTAACCCTGTTCCGTCTTCTGTGATCACCTCCGATCGTTGTTTCCAGGCGTGCCTGGACTGCATCTGCCGCGGCTGCCAAAACTCCTACATGGCCAACGGGGAGAAGAAGCTGGAGGCCTTCGCCGTGCCGGAGAAGGCCCTGGAGCAAACCCGACTCACGCTGGGCATAAACCTCACCAGCATCACGGCGGCCGCCCTCCGGAGCCCGGCCACCAGCTCCCCCGGCGGCACCCTCCTCAACGTCGCCACGGCGACGGGGGCCCCCGTCACGGCCACCTTCCTGTCGGGGGCCGGGCACGACAACCGGGGCTACGACGACTCGCTGGAGATGCGCTTTGACTGTTGAGGTCCAGCTCCTCCTCCACCCCCCCACCCCCACCCACAGGGGGGCCCACCGGGTCGGGCCACGGACATGCAGAGGAGGAGCCACAACAAGGCAGCTACAGTGACGGGCAGCAACGGGGGCCACGAGCCCGAAACTGCACCATGGTTGTGGTCTCGCATTCAGAGAAGAAGAAGAAGAAGAAGAAGAAGAAAGAGATGTAGCGTTACTGTATGTGCAGAGATTTCATTTCAGTGGGAATGGTTTTTCTTTTTTCGTTTCCTTCTCTACTACAGGTGTAGAGCATGTTGTGTAGCTAAGTCAGCAGAGTGGGCCTCGGTCACGCCTCCGTGGATGTGTGCGCGCGTGCATGTGAGTGTGTATGTACGAGGGTTCGGGTGGGAGAAAGACCTCCAAACAGGAGCAGAGACATCATCATCAGAGACTCATGTAATTTATATAAGAGACATTTTTCTACATGGACTTATCAGTTTCCATTTCTGATGACGTTTTATTATATTTTATAAGTTACATTAAAACCAACGGAAGCTGACGGAGGGGTGTGTCTGCATTCAACCAGAATATTTTCACTCCGCTAAAAAAGCTAGATGCTATTTTATCAGCTCTTCTTAACCACCAGAAGTTAAGCATCATTCAAACAAAAAAAAAAAAGAATAATAACATTAGTTTGTTACATGTGTAGATGAAGAACGAGGATGTGAATTTTAACACCACCAGCAAAGGTTTGATTATGCCTGTTGAATGTTTAAACTCTTTGAGCCACTGTCAGACCACCAAATATTATGCTAAGATGTTGTATTCTTAAAAAAACAAAGATGTATTTAACTAGTAAAATTGTGAACTTTGAAGTCAACCAACTAAAGTGGCTGGAGGTAAACAAGCCTCCATCCATTGTTTGCTGTTTTATATGTCAAAGTTGCTCTTTTGTGTGTGATTTTTATATATTTAGCACTTTTTAGCACTGACACACAGCTTAGAATGACCATGTTTCTTATCTGCTTTCCGGCGTGTTGAAAATTCTGGTTGATTGCAGAAGCCGTGCGCTGTTTCTCTGTAGGGTTTTGGTTTCTGGAAGCTACACAAATGCTGCTAAGAACTACAGAAGACTCAAAAGAGGAGAGCACCTGTTTTCCTCGTCTTTTGTTTCCTCCTTCATTTTCTGTTTTCAGTCATTCACGTTAACATTTGCAGTATTTATTGGACGTCCTGTATCGTGTGGGGCGAGTCCAGTCGATCCAGTCCGGGCCGTTTCTGTCTGTTGAGTTGCTGTCATCTTCTTAGTGTTAGTTTCCGCTGTCTCAAAAATCTGTTTTTATTTGTTTGTTTGTTTTTTTTGTTGTTGTTTTTCTTTCTCCCTCTGGGCATTTAAATACCTGTAATATAACTGTAAAATATTTCCACAAAAAAGAAAGAAAATCCTAAACTTAACAAGTGTGGTGTGATTTGTTTTTTTTAGTTGAGATGCAATAAACAAAGCGTACGCTAGGGGGCAGCAAAAGCTGCAAAATGCAGTATTTTAAGTACCATCAGGGGGCAGAATACATAAATATCAATATGTCTTAATATCAAAGATTAGAGTTGCTCCAGAAATTGTAACCCAGATTTAGATGGAAACTATTTGATCTTTTTGATTTGTCTTTCCTGAAAAAGGGTTCCAAGGCCCTATGCACTGTGGTAAAATAATCATAATCATCTTTTGAGAAATCCTTCCATTTGATTGAGATCATTCTTGACACTTTTAACATCATCATCAATCTCTCCCTTTCTTTCAATTATATCAATTGCCGCAATCAGATTTGCATTATTTCTTGGGTTAAAAAGTTATCAACACAGAATGTTGCCTGAGATGCTGCCAAACACAGAAAATATACACTTATTGGCTCTTTTTACAGTGTCTTTATTTTTGCACATTTATACATTCAAAGACATGTATTTACATTCACATTCAGCTGTTTTCTGTCTTGACAATTTACTATCCAAACCTGATCTGTGTGCAGTTGTGGATCTTTGGTGCTGCTCATGTGACATTTCAATCACTTAAATCTTGTGAAATGTTTCATAATTAAATAGGAACAGTGTTTCTATAGAAAGTGCTTGAGTCACACTATCAGATACTCCAATGTAAGTATTTTTTTAACTTTTTTTTGCATCAGTTTTTGTAACCAAAATTAGACTTGGTGCAGAGCAACCTTCGGCATCTTAGTGTCTGCGTGTGTTGTGTCACTTTAATGTGTTAAAGTATTCAGCTGACGTGGGCCACAAGATGTGGCTGAACACTACCTAAAATGTTTTTATTATATCCAGAAAATTAGAGATACAAGCAGGCCAATAAGGCAGCCACTCCTCTGCAAGCCCCCTGACTGGCACAGTCCTGCATTACCAACCATTTAAAATGATTTTCCAGATATGATAAACCCTAAAATACCAGCAGATCACCTACAAAAATACGTTTTTGCGGTCAGTGATGGTGAATTACTTAAGTAGAAAGAATAATACGTCTGATTTCATTTCATGGACACATTCAAGCTTCAATTACTGATCAAATTTAAATTAAAACCTTCCTTTAACTGATAATTATGTCCTACCCCCTGGGGCTTTATCTAACGGCTCATCACACCACACAGAAGACATCAGATCTGCTTGGAAAAGAAAACATGACTCTGCACTTGGAGATGGGCTGCAGTGGACAAAGCAGAGGGAGACACCACAACGAGAACATATCGTTTCAAAAGCTCAAAGAGACAAAGCAAATCTTGTAATATGACCATCAACACACAGCCATGTCTCTTTACTATATCACCTTTTTAGGTTCCTACTTCCATCAGAGTTTACTGCAGAGGGGAGACACCAGAAAGAGCTCCAGACACCACATTTAAAGGCTTGTTAGAAAAATAAAGTACACTCAAATATTTAACAATATGTACATCTTCAAACGCATCCAGAGATTCAGCAAACATTTGTGAGAGGAATGAGGCCATGAAGTTTTTACAGTGACTTGCGGCTACATTTGTTTCCCCTCTGGTGGCTGACAAAAGCATAACTATAAACCTCCCATGGATAATATTTTGGTTGCGACAGGCTTTTTTAATTTTGTGCCCTTTAAAAAAAAAAAAAGTCTTAAGTCAGGGTTTCAGCTCTAATTCGCTTGAAAGATAGAAAAGACACAAAAGTTACAGAGTGTAACAATTACTGACACTTACTGGTAAAGTTGTCTCTTTGGTTATAATTCCAGAATAGAAGAAATGCTAATTCAGTGTTTTTTCTTGCTTGCTGCCTTTTTCTGATTATCTTTTCTTGTTTTTTCTTTGGTTTTTGTTTGGATATTAATCCACGCACCACTCCCTGCTTTAGCTTGACATAAAAGTCTTCCCTTTTAGCGGAGTTCTCCCACATATTTTTCTTCTTCATCTTCTGAATATTAGGTGTGTTTTATGGTTGTAGGTGTTTCAGATGGAGCACAAAGGCGAGGCAAATACTGTTTTCCTGAGTGGAACCATTAAAGTTTGCATAATCCGATAGAGATGCTACATTCTAAGGCGATTAACCCTTACTGAACTAATACACGTTAACTATTGCCACAGTATTATCAGTAATGCTACACACTGTAACTTTATATAAAACCTATGACAGAAACAGCTTACAGACTAGAAGAAAATGACATAGAACGTGAATTAAAGAGAATATTTCTGTCTGACTTTGCATCAGCTGTACCTACTGCGAGTAAAACGTGAGGAACTAAAAGTAGTACTAGCACTCAATGTGTTTTGGATATGAGGAAAAGCAATTGTTGTTTTGGAAAGTAAATCCAACTATCCACAATGTTCTTTAAAACTGAGACTGCATCACAATCAAAAAAGTCTTTGGCATGGCAATTTCTACCACGTCCATGATTTGGTTTGCCCTCTCAAAAACAAGGTTGTTGAGTTTGACGAGCTCTTAGAATGTTACTGTGTCACCTCTGTTGTCAAAGTTCTTGAGTTTGTGAAGTTGTCTTTTCTTTTCTTTTAAAGAAGAGGCATCCCTGTAAAGTCAAGCAGTTTGATGCATTCCTCAAAAAGGCTGTTGTGCCTCTTGGATTTTTTCCTCGGACCGACTCCCAGAGTCTTCTAACTGATAAGAAACGCTCCGAAGAAGCTGCTCATCTCGCTCATGTCCACAGCAGAGGCGTTGGTCACGGTCACGAAGAGGCGGTCGCCGGGGCTGAGCGGGAACAGCCCGCCCTGGTGGGCCGAGTAGAGGGAGTAGTCCGAGCCCCGGGACCAGCAGGAGGTCCGACTGGTCTTCATCAGCAGAATGGGGACTGTGTAGGAGCTCACCTGGAGAGTGGCGGGGGGGGACAACAACACTCAGAACTAGTTTCAGATTAATCAAAAGAGTCTGAGTGAATGGTTTCTGCTTCTCTCAGTCTTATGTTCCAAGAGTTGACCTCTGGGGAGGCAATACAAATTTCCCAAACATCTGTCTCAATTATGACCCCAGCAGTGGGAAACAAAATAGAAAAAACACAAAACAGAGGCCACACATGTGCAGTCTGTGAGCTCCCTGGGCCGTGATCTGAAAAAATTGCATTCAGTCATCCAGGGTCCTTTTTAAGCAACAGCTCATGAGCTCTAAGCGTGTTAACTAACGTTTGCATCCGGTCTTTTACGTTTACCATTTATTTAGCACATTATTTTGAGCAGGAACGCCTTAAATATTGTAACAAAATAGACATCTTTGTCCATTTGCCTGATCCACCTTGTCTTATTAACATTTTCCACTTATATATATTGGGGGAAAGCCTTTGATCAAGGGGTAACCATATATTTATTACACTTCCCAATTTATACCAATTCTGCTATCTTTGGGATGTCTTAGTGTCCACACATCCTCACTGTCTGGCTATAATTAGTCTGTAGATGTGACTGGTCAGAGTCAAAGCACACCACCAGCCATGACACACTGTGTGAGTCATCAGTCTGCTTTACTCTGCGTGGCAGGAACTAAGAGGCTACAAACAACTCTGCAGACCCACTGTGGCCCGAACTCTCTGGGTTTTTATCTGGCTGAATGAATCACAGCCGACATCGCAATCTAATTTAAAGATTCAATAATCTGGTTAAACGCTCATGCTGATGACTCACAACACGAAATGGGCCGTTTTTCGGACCAAAGCAGACTGTTCTGGTACTAAAAAACAGACGGTGAGAGAGACAGAGCTGTGATAGGGTACCTTACCTTTTTGTAAACGTACTGCAGGAGGGGCTGCCCCCTGTCCTCTGCCCCCTCGCCGTCCTCGCCCTCCTCCTCCGCGGAGTGTGTGTGTCTGAAATAGGTCTGGGCGTAGATGTAGTAGAGGCCCGGCTGCGACACCACCAGCTCGCCATCCACCAGCTGGACGTCGTGGAGGAACGCCAGCCCCTTCCGCCCCTCCCACCAGGAGATCTTCTGGCCTTTAACTTGTCTCCCAGCGGAGATTGGAGCTAAAGCAAGCAAATACATTCACAGTAAGTCGCGGTTTGTTTGCTGATGGCCCTCCGAGGATCAAATCCACCTGTTCAAGATGACCTAGGCTTGTTATCTGGATTATGCGTCCGACCAGAACCAATTTTAGGTTAGGAGGTAAATCCTCATCCTTTCAGATCAACCTGGATTGTAACCTACAGCAGCTGTCCAAATAGTGTCAACCACAGCTGGTGTCAGTTTTCACCCACAATATGACCTTTTCCTTATTCAAATACAATTTGTGACCTAATTGTAACCAAACATGCTTGGAAAGAAACACAAAAACAACTACTCCCAGACAAAACTCGAACCCCACCCTTCTGGATAAAAGTCCAGGAGGCAACAGCCTTTTGCTGCCCACCAACCAGGACTTTGGCTGTGATTGTATGGGTGATAAGAACCCTCTGAGCCTTTGAGGAGCTGGAAAGAGGCCCCTTACGTCTGTGGACTTTAAGATAATCATGATAAAATACATCTGCCACAATGCCTACTTCCCCCAATTGTAGTACGCTTGGGTGTTTGTTAAGCTTTAAGGAAATTGGTCATTTTGCTCAAATATGATGTATTTTGGTTTTATATGGCAAGAGCCTCTTATTCAAGATAAAGACAGAAGGTGTATTTGATGTGCTGATGATGATATTAGAGGCAGAGTGGCAAAATTCTGCCTCAACTATTGAGTAAGCGAGAGAAAAATTAAGGTCCTTAAAGAGGTCACATTTTATGGCTTTGTGAAGTTTATCACAATTAATCACAATTCAAAGCATACAACGATTTAACTCATGGTGAAATCTATCCTTACACACTACTGAAGTTATAAGCTGCAGTTTGAAGAAAGGATTACTTTCATCGTGCACCTGGAACAGTGGGGCGAGCGATTGGAGTTTGATACGTTTTAGTCATGGGGACTTGGCCTGTGCCTTCTACCCCCCGCAGCTACTGGCAAACCCCAAATCTGGGCTTCATCTGGCCAATAGAAAACATGTCATCAGCACATTTGGGCCAGTTCATGACCCTTGAACACTCTGGGCCACATGACACTTTCCAGTCCTGTAACTGTGTGATCGTCAAAAAACGTATCCCAAATAATCCTCTAATGTCTGAAGTACGTTTATATGCTACACTGGGCTGAGAGTAAAGAGTAGCTAAATAGTGAATTCTTCTTTAGATTTGCATGATGGTTGGCTAACAACGCCCTGACAAATAAAGCTGACGTGGATGTGCAGCGTAAATCAAACCGTGGGCCGGTCCCTTTGGATTGTAGACAGCTTTGAGTCACTGTTTCTGAGCATCGTGGGACTTTCAGTGTTTTACTTCTGTCATCAGTTTAGCTGTGTTTTGTCTCCTAAGGCAGCTGTTTTCATTTAGGAATGTGTTGTAATGTCTTCAATGTCACTGATGTGGAGGACAGTCCCTCAGTTTGTTGATAAAGTGCCGGCACAGTTCATTTAATGCCCCCCAAATGAATAAAAGTTTCAAAGATTCATCTTAATAGAGTTATTTTTCAGTTTATCAAACATGGGAAACTGGGTAAAAATTCTGAATTGATGGTTCAGGTTCAGGTTGCAGTCTGCCCTTTCACCACAAGATGTCCCTTCATTCTACATGGGGAAACTGTCTTTACCCTGGCATTGAGCAATCTATTAGCAGTTATTATAAGGTTACATTTGGCATTTTTTGCTGTTTTCAGAAAGCAATTTTATTTAACTCAAAATATAACCTTTAATTTTCTTAAACCAGCACATATATATCTGTCATAATAATCTATTTTTTAATTAAATTCGCCTTTTTTAAACCAGAATAGGGATCTGTTCCAGCAGGACCCACCTCCCTGTTCTTGCTCCACTTTGAGCACAAAGCTCCCGGTGACATGTGCTGCGACCTTTGGGCGAGCTGAAGCCTTATCCTCCATCACAAGTGAGGGCAGCACCCGAGATACTTCATCTGGTGTCAGCAGAAAAGGAGAAAATGAGAAAAGTAATTCACACATTCCCATTTATTGGATTGTAGGTCAGCTTTATGTTTTCTCACCTTTCACTGCTGATGAAAGCTGCCTTTGGTAGCGCTGAGACAGAGACTGCAAGGAGAACAGATGCAAACAATTATTGATGAACAAATCATTTAACATTTTAATTTGATTTACAAAAGTCCCACAAACGTACTTTGACAAACAAAGGTTTTTCCATTCAACACAGTTAAGTGGGAAATCATTAAAGCGTAACTGAGAGTGGCTCTGGTGCCAAATGAGAAAAACAAGAAGAGATGCTCAATTACACTTGCAAAAAGCTTTGGTGTCTTTATCAGCTCATTCCACAGCCCTGCCAAACAGCCTGTTATTCGACTTTGACCCTGAAAAGGTGCTGACACCGGGACAAGGAAGATTCCTCCAGTGCACAGAAAGGAGTCCGTGTTCAGACTGATAGTGGACATTTTCCTGGAAATCAACTGTTGTTGTTTTACATTATTTTACTGAGTTCAAAGGCAACTATGTAAAAAACGTTTTCTTATTCAGTAATTAACTTTTAGAAAAGGAAAGAGAAAATACAGATATTTGTTTGGGTAAAAAAAAACACCTAGGTATTGCTAATGTGCTAAGTGTTTGCCAGCTGATGTTTATGATGTGTTCCGTGCAAAACAAGGAAACACGTCCATGAACTGTGTTCCCCTACATTCACAACTATAAAAGTTGGAGTAAAAGCTTCCTGGTGTGACACAGACAATAAATCTCACATCTCCGTGAAACCAGATGAAAACACCTGCAGGAAAATGTAGCTGTGGAGTCCAAAATGAGCCCGCCAAATGTATCATTGCGGCAAGAGTTGGAAATGTTGCTATTTCATGAAAAAAATGCGCTCCTGTTAGGTTTAATGGCAGCAACACGCCTCATAATTATCAGGACAGGTCCGTGTTTTCCTGTGTGTAGCGCCCCCTCCTCTCTTAACAGCAGACTGTAAACATCTGGCACTGAGGAGACCGGCAGCTGGACCTTTGGGGGAGGAATGTTGTAGCTGCTCAGTAGTCCTGGGTCTTCTTTTTTGGATTTGAAATATTTTCAGCTGGTAAAACATCTGGACTGCAGACAGGTCCAGGCTTCTCCTACTAAGTCATGATGTTAGAGGCGGTGCAGGATGTGCTTTAACATTATCTTGCTGAAATATGACTTTCTTTCCCTGATGTTACTATATAATCCGTATCAGCCTTTAAGCTTTGACCCTTTCCATATTAGCACAATTCCAGTTTCTTTGGTTGTAAGGCTCCAATATCATTAGACAGACTTTGAAATCCCAACTGATAAGGAGCAGGATGCTCCCTCTCCTCTTCAGTCTGAAGGATGCAGTCTCCATGGTTTACATTTCAGGTTCTGATTCACGTTCAGAACAACTTCCACTATGTCTGAGTCCATTTTAAATTAGCTCTGGCCCAGAGAAGACAGTGGTGCTTATTGGTCATGTTCACACATATTGTTCTTTACCTGACAGAGTTTTAACCTGCAATAGTATTCAAAGATGATGGCTTCATGAAGTATCCTGAGCCCGTGGCGTGATTTCCAGGACAGAATCTGTTGAACCGGAGCTGCCTGAGGGCCTGAAGGTCACAGATGTCTGCAGACCCTGAATCTATTCATTTTACTTTTTGAGACGTGTGGCAGCCATGAAATTCTAGAGGAGTTCTTTTTTCTCCACAATATCAAAATTTCTCACTTTCAATATTTTATATTCATCACATTGCTTTTTATTAATCAAATTTAGATTTATGATATTTGCAAAAAGCTATTTATATATAATGGAAGCATCCAAACTTTACAATTGAAAATTAAATCATTTTGAGAAAGATTCCTCATTTTATCACATCATTTCCCACAATTTACAGAATAAATCTGCAGGACATCAACAGTGAGTGTTGCTCCAGCTGAGAACCACTTAAAACAACAGTGTCTCATGGAAAGAAAACTGCAGCCTAAATAATCCAAATGTTTATCGAAGAATACATTTTCCTCTCACATTGAGCCACTTTGTGGCCATAATATTAATCAAATGGATTTTAGGACTAAATTTAGATAATACACAAGCACCCAGCACCATCTTCTCCTTCCAAATGTATCACGTTGTTTTAGTTTATGATTCAATACATCTGCATTTTTGAAAAGCACAATTCTTCTTTGCTGCTCTGTTCTTTTTAAATTACATTTGTTTAACTGAGGGTTGTGCAGGATTTCACACGGCTTAAAAATGGCATTCCACCAGGCATCATAAAGTAAGAATTGTTTGGTCAAACTGCCCCAGCCTCATGTTTATTTTTGAACTAATTTTGATCAACCAGCTGAAGGGGAAAAGAACCAACTTCGAAGTATTTATGAGAGCTGCAAAGGCAGAGGAAGAAGGGATTCTGGAGGGGGGGCGGATTAAGCAAATAACATGCACTAACAGCAAACTAAAGGAAATATAAAATTAGATCAACCGTGAGTTTGTGTGTATAAGTGTGTGTGTTTTCGAGCAGGGCAGGTGAATGCATTCCTGTGCTGATTAGACCAAAGCGGATCACATCACATCTCCAGCTATGAAGGAGCTCATTGTGTGTCTGAGATTCGGATCATTTTGGCATTTTTTCCTCCACAGGAAGCCTCCAGAAATGATGATAATAATGATGATCCCCCTGGCATTTTTGCTTTTTTTTTTTTTAAACTCCTGATTGAAATATTCAAGAAAACTCCCACATGTTTAAAGAAACAGATATGGTTACATAAGAGACACCAAAATAGAAAGAATAGCAAAACGTTTGTTTTTGTATGAGTTGTTTTTGCCTTTTCGGCTTAAGTGTCTATGTGTGTGCGGTATGTGTGTGTGGTGTGTGTGTGTGTGTGTTGGGGGGGTATGAACAGGCTCTGTTTTTTCTGCAGGGCTGTGAGGTTTATGGATGATACAAAAAAAGGGCGGCTTTTGAATGTGGGTCTCTGTGTGTGTGTGTTTTCAAACCTTCTCAATGAGCAGGTGAAGCTGCTGTGTGACCTGCCAGCATGGATCTCCTCGTCCAGCCGTGATGCTCTGCAGGTCTGAGCCCATCAGACAAGACACACTGCTCCTGGCGAAGGTCTCCTTCATCTGTGAGAGGAGAGCATCACACTTTTCAAGTAACGACTGACCGATGCTTTACCCTCTGGTTCCTTGTGTTTGCCATTAAAGACCATCAGGAGGTCGTGTTTGTGTTGATATGCTCTATTGGAAACAAAACAGGACACACTCATGTTTTACTCAACCTAATCTCTGGATCCAAACCTGAGTCAACAGTCTGCTTTGGCTTGTGCCTCCTTTCTTTGCTTTTCTCCCATTTAGATTTCACGTCCCGCAAAAATGCTGTTGCATTTCATCCGGTTAATGATTAATTGCTGTAAATACAGCCTGAAAGTTTCACTGGACTCAATCCAGGTAAGCAAACGACATCCACGGGCGCGCGCACTCCCACACAACCAGGTCTGCAGAATTTCTGCCTGACAATCGCAGAGAATCGTAAAAGAGCTGCAGTCTAGCCCTGCTGTTCCTGAGCACCTTACGTCCCCCTGCTCTGTGTTTTATCACAGAGAAAAAACTGTCAAACGGGATTATTTCAAAGTGCAATTTGGGCATGTGGCCTGTGCTTCATGTGCAAAAGAGGAAAAGTTATTACAAGAGGACAATGTGTGCTCTGGAACGAAACTGCACAACCAGGGGAGCACAACAATGATTAAAAGCACTGCTCCTGGGCAACACAAACTCCCTCTAAAACTCTGCATTCAGGCAGGGATTAAACAGCCACATCAAAAAAAAGCGTCAGCCTCTCGGTGCGCAATGCCCACCGCTGCGTAAAAATCCCCCGTGCGTCTCCGCAGCCGTCAGCCGGAATCGAGGTACGCTTTCTTACCGAGTTGAGAGACGTGCTGAAGTGCAGCACGGTGATGGTCACGACCACCGTCTGCAGCAGAACCGCCACCAACAGCAGGACCCCCAGCCTCGGACCGGTTGCCGTCATAACGACAGACCGCCGTCCGGCACCCGACCAGCGCCGTCCGGTGACGTTCCCAAACTTCAAGAACAAGAACAATGGCTGAGAGGCTGACTTTTTAACTATCACCCTCCCCGTCCCAGCGAGCAGGAGGAGGCGGGTCTGAAGAACAAGAGCTTTTTTACTCTTTGGATTTCTCCCGTGGAGATTGTTTCGTTTCTGCTCTGAGAAAACACAGATAGCTTTCAATAGTTTATTGTGAACGCTCATATCTCCGCAGTCAATCTTTGCTCCAGGTTTCACAGTTAGGGAAACTGTGGGATCTAAACGAATCTGAGAAGAAAGGCACGTAGAGGATTTTATTATGATGTTATGAAGTTAATACTGAACAACAAACCCCTCACATCCTACAGTTATGAGCAAAACGTCCTCATCCGGACTGGTTCTTTATAGTTTCTCTCCAAGCAAACTCTTTCTGAATGCTTTCAGGAGGTCCTCTGCAAGGGATTTTCTTTGGCTTTCTCTTAACTCATTTTGAGCCCAGTCCCTCAAGGCATGAGGCAGTGTTGCACCACACAGGGGGCAAAGAGGGTGTTTTAAATTGGATCTTTAGACTTTTTTGACTAGCAGCCTGTCACAAAACAGGAACGTAACCTTATTTAAGCAGTGGGGGATCATCTGTCAGAGAATGGAACAAGAGACAGCTGACATCCAAAGAAGAGCTTTGGGATGTCCTTCAAAACGGCTGGAAAAGTATCCTTGAAAACTCCTTTTAGACAGGACAAAAATATGATTGGAGAGGGTTCAGACTGTACTGGAGAATAAAGGAGCTCAGAACAAATATTCACTTTAGAGCATTTTAGAATCAAGCAGGTTCCGTATACATCTTATATCCTGAATTTACATGAATACCAGCACGACGGTCCAGTGACTCACTGAACTTATTCAATGTGTTGTCACTGATGCATAAAGATACATGGAGCAGCTCATAAACTTTTGTTAGATGCGCTAAGTAGTCTTGGATCAGGGAATGGAAGATTTCTAAGTGAGGTACATTAGAGTTTTTCAAGAGGTTTTCCTCAAAGGCCTCACTCCGTCTGCTGCCTCGGACCACTTGAGGAGATGATGTCAGGTTGTTTGGGGGAAAAAATGAACTGACACTCCTGACATTAGATTCCACACCCTCTACATCGATCATGTTTCTGTCTGAGCAAAGGAAAGGAGTTTAAAAAGATAGATGGAAGTGTCCGTCTATAAGTCCACGCATAAAGCCTGACTGTGAATTTCGTGTTCAGATGTTTCCATCTTGTCATGTGATCTGAAGTTGGATGTAGTTTCAACAGATTATCAGAGGACCTTACACCTGAATGATGGGCTTTTAAATTCGAACAGGCAGCATTTCAAAGGCATCTTTCTTCCTCACTCTTATATGTCTTAGAAGAATGTTTGATGTTAAAAGATAAAGTGTGAATGGCAGGAACACACAGGCTACTCTTGTTCCCTGGATTCAGATTCAATCTCGAAACAGCACTGAGATGTATTTAGATGTGTCTGTTAGCCATTACAAAACATGGTCATGTATTCTTATGTTTTTTTTAGATAACTGTGTTTCTGTTGTACATCTCCTTCACGAATTTTAAAATATAAAATAATGACCATCTAATTTTACGATGCTTCAGTGCACATTTCTCTGAATGCTGGCCCAAAGTGCACAGTGCAATGTGTCAATGACCAGGGCTGAATCACCTTTTGACTACTTTGATTTAACTTGATGCCTTTAAACAAACAACAAGCAATCACATTTATAACAGACTTTGAACTCTTTGTGAAATAAAATCAAATTCAATTATCACTCAGTGTTCCATCCATCCATCCATCCATTATCAATACCGCTTATTCCCTGATGGGGTCGCGGGGGGAACTGGAGCCTATCCCTCACTCAGTGTTTGGTTTAAAAAAAAATAAAAGAACTACATTTGATGTCTGCAAAACATAAAAAAGGTAAAAGGGCTAAAAAGACTAGACTTCAGTTAGTCAACAATAACAGAAAAATTGCGTAATTAATACATTGTGATACCGCATTTAAAACAATGATTCCCAGAGCAACAAACATTGCCTAACACAGCGGTCTGCCTGGTCACCAGATGAGGAGGCATGAAGAAGACGAGGGATCAGCTGGATCTGCCTGATGGTGCAGAGGTTGGTGGGAGCAGACCCAGAAAATCACTTTGACACGGGCCCTTTTCCGGGAGATCAAAAACCAGCGAGGCAGCCACATTCTGGATGATCTGTTGCTGTTTTATCACACGAGCTGAGAGGCCCGTTAGGAGGGCTTTGCAGTAGTCAGATTGAGTAATGACCAGGGTTTGTACCAGCAGCAGCCTGATCGTGCTTATGTTGAAGAGCATAGAGACGGACTCGACTGGGCTACAGAGGTCACATTCTTAGAGAAAGTCAACTGGTCGTCAGTCAGGATTCCCCAGCTCCAAAAAACACTGAGATTTGACCGAGTCTATTGAATCATTACAGCTGATGAAGTCCTCCATTACAAAAAAATAAGATCCAGATAATTCCTGACTGTACTTCAGTCAAGTCAGATACTTAAGACTCATCAATTCTTTTCAAATGATTTCAATTGTCACTGTACGGATAATATTTAAACGCACTATTTCCAATTACTGAGCAAGGAACACAAAAATGTAAAAACAGTCAAATATGCACTAAAAAAAATCTATTAAGTAAAAAAACTTTAAAGAACCTATTATCTGATATCTCACATGGCACGTGAAGACTTAAGAACCTTTGGTAAAAATTTCAAGAGGATGAGGCACAGCTGTGATCCTCATAATGAATCAGGGCATCACAGACACAGGCTGGAGCCAAAACACTTCCTGAGCTGCAGTCGGTTCAAAATCCCAGTCACTGAAAGGCAGCACGGATCAAAATGTGCCCTCTTGATGCACCTTAAACCTTAAACCCCTCATCTCTTATTAAGAATTCAATCTAAATAGAAAAACTTACAACAAGGGGAGCTTTGTTTCAAATTAAACGTAACTTGGTGCAGAGCAGCTTTTGGCTGGAAACACTCTGAACAAGAGAAAGATTAGATTGAGCAGAAAAGCTCCTCTCGTTTCCGAACATTATCGCCACTAAGACTTTGAATCATTCCATAAAGGTTAGAGGTCCTCTGAATACAATAACAACCTATTTCTGCTTGCGATCAAAATTGTTCTGTTTTTGGTCTTATTTTTAGACTGCCTGCTCACGGAGTTTAAAGCACACGCAGAGAGTTTAGGGAAAAGGAGA